TCCCGCACCGACATTGTAAAGCTCGTTTTGGACATGACAACTTGTACTTCTCATTGTTGCAACAGGTCCACCTGTATCCTTAAACAACTGGTTTTCCCCATCTATATGTATACTTTTTTCTCTTAACCAAGATAGTAATAGCTTGTGGTGGTACTAGGATTTAGGGCTTACTAGGCAGACAGTCTACCACTTGAGCCACACTTTAAGCCCTCTAAATGGTTTTGCAACATGGGTCTGTATGTGCCACATTTCTGAGAATGCATATCATCTGCTTTTTGAAAACTGTTCTATCAACTTTTTGCCTCCGGTGTTACTGATGATAGAAGAAACACGATCAACATAAAGCTGACATCATGCTCACTGAATGTAAATAGTTTCAGTTTGTAAATCTTAAATGAAAAAATCCAACATATTTATCAAGTTACAATTGATGTATAGTAAATGAACACATATATGACTTACCCATTTTGGGTAATTCCATTGTATTTGTACAACAACACTATGATCCTCAGTCTCAGCCAGACTCCAGATGCCAGGCGAGAGCCACCAGCACCTGGCAAGCCACTGGCTTTTACTTGAGGTGCTGAGACTATTTACATATTCTTTGATCATTGCTATCACTGTGTAACTGATGAGTTATTTTCTATTTTTCATCTTTTCACTTTCTGTCTTGTCTTCTTTTTGTTTCCTATCTTAGACTCTTTACTTTTCATGATTCCATTTTCTTTCTTTGTGGGCTTGTTTGTGAAATTCTAGAAGGTTTCACCTCTCTCCTTAAGTCTGATATCCTGTAGTTTCAGACTAGCCTCAAACAGCGATTGTCCCAGTTTCTTGCTACCTGGGAGGTAGCAAGGACTACAGGCATAAGCCAAAGGCCCCACCTGACTAAGAATATCACTTTTTTTTTTTTTTTGCCAGTTCTGGGGCTTGAACTTAGGGCCTGGGCTCTGTCCCTAAGCCTCTCAGTGCTCAAGGCTAGCACTCTACCACTTGAGCCACAGCACCACTTCTGGCTTTTCTGTTTATGTGGTACTGAGGAATTAAACCCAGGGCTTCATGCATGGTAAGCAATCACTCTACCACTGAGTCACCTTCCCAACTCAGAATGTCACTTTTTAAACTAAGAAGCCGTGTGAACTTACCTCCCAAGTGGCACACAGATTTGATTCATGATATAACCATTTGCCATTTTCATCTTTAGGATAGATTTCATCTCCGGGCTGTTAAAAACATACAAAACACATATATATACACAATAAAATAAAATGTTACTCATCTTATTTGTGTCTTGGAATTAAAATTTAAAAATTTGAATTGTCTATGTTCTTACATACTTTGATCTTAGGAAAGCAATTCAAGTTTACTTATTCATATATTTACATAACCCTATATTAAATAGTATATGTGTTTTATATGCACATAATAGCTATAACAGTATATAATATAGGTACTATTATATCATATAATATAATGGTAATATTACTATGTTATTATATCTAGCATATATATTATTGTATCTATTTTGCACTGATATGTATATTTTCTTCCCCTATGTGTGATTAAGAATTCTTTCATTTGCTCAATATATGTGATGTATTTCTCATTATTTTGCCTGACATTTCTACTGAATGGAGTGAGTTTTTCTTTATTGAATGACAAGTTATTAGTTTGAAGCCATGGAGTTCTCTCTTAAGGACAGCATTTCTCTTAAAAGAAAGGAATAACGCTGGTCATGACACACACCTATAATCTAAGCCACTCAGGAGGCAGACATTAAAGGATTGAGAATGTGGAGGCTTGCCCAGAAAAAGTTAAAAAGTCTCTATCTCAGAAGCAAAATACAAAAATAAAAGAGCTGGGGTATTGTTCAAGAATGTAGAGCACAGGCTCGTATGACCTGAGATCAACCCCAAACAAACACTCCCTGAACCCACCAAAAAATAAATAAATAAAGCCATAGGGTAGTTGAGAATTAGAACTGTTAGTCTTGGTGTTTTTGAAAATCTATGTCTTTGAACTTAGATCTTATGAAGAAGTTAAACAGAAATTCTCAAGTTACCTTCTTTAAAAAGAGTGCTGTACAAGCAATTACAAAACCACAGGAAAGTAAACTCTACTTCCTAACTTTAAGTACATGTGCTCCCCACATTTCAGGCTCAGATCAAAATCTACCCTTAGAATAAAAGTCAACATTAACTACATAAGGAAGGACAAGGGCTCAGACTGTAATGCCCAAGAGTCTGGAACCAAGAAATCATGACAGTCTGTCATTGAGCTTGGGAGGATGAGGCAGAGGGAGTTTAGGAAAATGAGAATGGAATTGGTATCACAGGTGGCCTGCTTCAAGAGACATTGTCACGAGACTTCTTTCACCGTAAGAAAATATAGAAGATCCCATCTATGAAGATGGGGCCCTTCACACACACTGCATGGAAAGCCACCTTGAACTTGATTGCGTTTTCCAGCCTCTGGAATTGAGAGCCATCAGTTTCTCTAGTTCACGAGTTACTCAGTCCAACATATTTTGTTATTGCAGCTTGAATAAGACCTTCTTGGATGCCATGAATGTTTCACAGAAGAGCACTGATTTACACCCATTTGTTAAAAGATAGACATCAGCCCAACAATCTACATCCATTATGAGACTTTCTTAAACAATAGTTGCAGAGTATTCCTGTTCCTTGACCAAGGGATTCTGAGATGTGGCAAACTTTGGCCAGAGGTTCCTGTGAGGTTAAGCCAAAGTTGCTCTCTGTGGGAATTTTCTCTCTATTATGTTTCTATTTGGTGGATTTTCTTCCCAGGCCACATTTTCCTACTCTTCTATCAGTGGTTCCTAATAAACCACTCCACATGGATCCGCCTCATCTTAAGGTCTGCTTCTGGGAAGTTCAACCAAAGTTGCTACTGTAAGAGATGAGATGTGATAATGCCTTGGCCTGGGAAAATAGCAGGAGAGATAAAAAGAAGGAAATAAATTAATGTAGAAAGCAGAACAGAGCCCATAGATCTCTGCGCTGACTTGGAAATTAGGTGGGATGGCAGGGAAGGACAGAGAGAAATGAAAGTGGATCCTAGCTTCTTCTTTTTTTTCAATTCAAAATGTATTGTAAAGATGATATCCAGAGAGGTTACAGTTATGTAAGTAGTATGTATATAAGGAAGTAAATACATTTCTTTTTGAATAGTGTTGCCCTCCCTCATTTTTTTCCAATTTTTCCCCTCTGGTTCCCCCCTCGCTTGGCAGTTGTATCGTCATGTCCAACACAGTGTCTAGTGAGTATCACTGCTGAACTTGTTCACCCTTTGTTCTACCATTTCTGTGCTTCCTCTACCCCTCTCCAAATCCAATAAGCTTAAATAGAAGACAAAGGCTATAGAAATCAATATTGACAAAAGGGAACAAACCAAAGGGGGTGAAAAAAATAGAACCACAAACAGAATAATTAAAAAAACCTCTTGTTTCCATTTCTTGGAGTTCATTTTGATAAGCATCATTTTATATGATCTTATGTACCTAGCTATTGAGCCCTTGTGAACCTCTCCTAAGAATATCCTCCTTTGTCCTCATTGTGTGACAATTTAGAGTGTTGTTTAATTAATCACATCCAAATGCAATTATTTGCCTTTTTCTATTCTTTGAGTTTACTTGTAGATTTATAAACACATTCTAATTATTACAAATGAGGAAAATCATGCATCCTACATTCTTTGTATAGATGGTGCTAATCAGTTCCTGAGGCCAGGGCTGGGAATAAAGAATATCATCTTAGATACATTTTGTTTTAGATAGTGCTGGGGATCCAATCCATAGCCTTACACATGCTACAGCAAGTATTCTGCCACTGAGTTTACCCCAATGCCCACATTGACTTTGAAATGATCATCCAATATTCAAGGAGGAATCTTAGAAGACAGTTGGAAAGAGAAGGAGATCTGGGGCTCAGAAAGAGGTCATGATTGGAGACTGTACTTGGGAAATACAATCTGTGAAACATTATTATGAGATGGACTCACTGTACTGCACTAACAAGGCTACTAGGCTCCTTTGCTAGATGGTATTAAATCTGTGTGGTTGGGTGGCCTCATGTATGGAGAACATGTGCCTCATAAAACAAAAATATCAAGGGCACAAATACTAGGCATGACATTTGATGGGTTACAGGGCAGGAGCAGCCAACCAACCATGAGAGGATGAGATCATAGCAGGAAAATAATGTTTAAAGAAGGGGGGAGCAGTCATCTAGGGCAAGAGATCGGTTAGTATGAGCAAAATGAACACTGGATTTGTAGCACTGGTGTTTCTGTTGCCTTTGGCAAGAGGATTTTCTTCTTGGAGCTTACTGTGATTTGAAGGGTCCCTAGGACACCTTTGAGTGTTGGAGATTTAATCCCCAGTGTCAGGCAGTGACTAGTGAGAAGGGTTTGTGTGTGTAGACTATTGCCATTTTTGAAGGTGTCTACAGGAGTGGATTTGCTCTCTCAGCCCTTTTCCAGGTATCAGAATTTTCGTTACAGACACTTCTAGGGCTATCAGCCAGTGAATTTCTGCTTACTATGAATTACCCAATCTCAGGCATTCTTTTTATTGTTCCTGTTATTGGTCATGAGGCTTGAACTCTGGGCCTGGGCGCTGTCCCTCAGCTCTTCAGCTCAAGGCTTGAGCCACAGCGCCACTTCCGGTTTTCTGAGTGGTTTATTAGAGATAAGAGTTCACAGGCTTTCCTGCCTGGGCTGCCTTTGAACCTCAATCCTCAGATCTCAGCCTCCTTAGTAGCTAGGATTATAGGAATGAGCCACCAGTGCCCGCTCAGGCATTTTTTTTTTATCAGCACAAAATCAACTGGTAAGGGGAATGAAGCAATTTCACAAATTCCCACTTTATTCTGAAGCTTTTCCTAATTTTTTTCCCTCATAATAATTCACCTTTATAAAACTTTCTTCTGGACAAATAATACTTCTCCCATTGTTCTCTTTAGCAAAGTTCCCCCCGCCCTTTTCCATTTCCTCCTATCTGGATGAGAACAGGAAACAAGTCTCCCTTCTTCTTGATACTACATTATTACTCACATTAATTACCCCTCCAGTCTCTGATTCCTAAACTCCTTGACTTTCTCAATACTTATGACTCAAATGTTTACTTCAGTCTCTCTTCCTATGTCTTGCTTTTTGAATTTCTTCATTCTACCATAATCTTCAGTAGCCTGTACCTCCTTCATTAACTGTTACATTATTGTTTTCTTTCTCAGATTTTAAGTACTTGTCAATCTTGGGCCTACGTTGGATGCTTCCATGATCAACACTTGCATCTGCACTGTGTCTATCAATCTCTTCATCCTTGTATCCTTCCCTTCCTTTCTCCTCTGCCTCTCCCTCATGCCAGGCCACATGAGAGAAAGAATTCAGCCTTCTAAAAATCCACATGATAGACTCTCATGTTTCTTCACTTTTTTTTTTGTCGGAATTCTGGGCCTGAGCGCTGCCCTCAGCTCTTCAGCTCAAGGAGAACACTCTACTACTTGAACCACAGCACCACTTCCTATTTTCTGAGTTGTTTACTGGAGATAAGAGTCTCACAGACTTTCCTGCCCAGGCTGGCTTTGAACGGCGATCCTCAGATCTCAGCCTCCTGAGTAGCTAAGATTACAGTGTGAGCCACTAGTGCCCATCTTTTTTTTTTAAATAATATATTTTGTTGTTCTGAAAATATATTTGCTTCTTGACAAAAGATAACAAATCTTTTAAGAAGAAAAGAGGTTTTTTTTATTAAGAATCATGAGATTCAAAATCAGTCTGACTTTACAGGAGTATTGGTTTCTCAATTGCAGATTCATTGAGAAGGAATGTCATTATGCTGTGTCATTTTTTTTTTCTGGTAAAAGTTTCACTACCTATGGCCTTGAACCTACCAAGCATATAAACAAATTCTCTATTTACTTTCTCTGAAAGTAAATATTTGTAAAATTTGGAAAAATTACTACAACTGTAGAAAAGCAAACTTCATGTTCTAACTTTTAAATACAAGGGTTTCCCTCAATTTTAAATCTCAGATAGAAACCCTACCATCTGGACAAGAGTCAACATTATATGAGTGAGGACAAGGGCTCTGGATGTGACACCTGCAGTCTATTGTGAGGCTTGAGAGGAGGAGGAAGCAGAGGGGGGGGAATGAGAATGGATGTTGCACTTACAGTGTGTCTATGAGCCTACCGCTTTTAACATGAATAAACTAGCCCATCCTTGGGAGCTTCGACTTCTTTATGCAAGCAGTGAAGTTATTGAGGCCGATGGTTCCTTTCGGCTAAAACTTTTAAATATTATCTTTAATTGTTTATCTACACAATATAGACAGGGTGCCAGTAGCAACTTTGCATACTAATTTTAGTAACTCTTCACAATACCTACAAATTAATTATCTCTCTTCCATTGGCAATGGAATTTGAGTTCGGAAAGATCATAGTCCCTATTCTATTAAGTAACAAAGCTAAACACGAGTCCCTTTTCTACCTGTGTGACTCCCAAGGCCCTGCGCTTTCTATTTCACCATACTTTGTGGATGTGGGAGAGAGGTAAGGGATAAGTTGACAACCCTGTCACTCTGGCAGGGCTGGATTCAAGCGAGGTAGCCTCACTCTGGCACCCATGCTTCTTCCATTTGTCATTTGGTGACATCTAATTAATGAATACAGTGGAAATTTATTATTTTGGTTGCCACTATCCCTATGGCTTCTTCTCTGAAAGAACTCCCTTGCTTTTGTTTGGCTGGATTGATTCAGTTTCTATTCTTGCCCACAGAAACCAATGGCCAAGGAACTAGGCCCACAAGGACCCAAGACAGACTAACCAGAAGAAGATGTGGTCTCGCTTTCCTTGAATTCTCAACTTGAATTAGCAATGGCTAATTGTCAAGCCAATAGCATTTTGCCATGATAAATAGAGCTTTGGGGAGCATGTGAGGATGGAGAAAGGGCCAGAATACAGATATAAGGTTTGAACTTCTGAATCCAGTTGTATCTGAATTAGATACAAATTTGTAGTTTCTTTGTTTTTCCTCCCCTGTCCCTGCCTCAGGTCAATTTGAATTGAATTTCTGCATCTACCACAAGAGTTCTGAGTAATACAGAGGTGGTATGTTCCAAGTAATGGACAGAGTTGATCAGATCAGACTGAAATTGTGAACAAGGAGGAATCTTCTACCTCCAGCTGGGTACTGGCAATTTCTGATATGATAATCCGGCATCTGGTTATATTGTTGTTTGGTCTGTCTGGATCAATCAGCCAACTAAAGCTAAGCTAAGCTTTGAGAATTAGTAGGAAAACACTGGCTTGTTGGGATTCTTTCTCCCTTCTCACCCCCTCTATTCTTTTCTTTCTTTAAATCTTTTTGTAAGGTCCTGCAAGAAAGATAAGTATACTTGTGGATATTAGGTTTTCTTCTTTAATCTTTCCTTCTCTAAATTATATTTTAAAGCAGTTGCTACTCTGCATTGTATGTCTTGGGTGTGTTAAATTTACAGTGTGTCTATGAACAGAGAGAGATAGAGGTAATATCACATTTGAACAGAGCAATCAATAACATCTGGATACTTTGGCCTTGGATGTAGCTCCAAAAATCTGACCATTCTTTAGGTTGATTCCTATTGGAAGAGATAGACAAATATGTTTTTATATCTGTCTACTACTGTGCATGATGCTGTATGGTGCCATTTTTATGACTATGTAAAGAGAAAAAGGATGTGTTTGGATGCTGGCAATCAAAATGTGGACCAAAGTTATGTGACTACTTGATGGAAAAAGTGTCAACTATACTGGCAAAAACATAGTAGAGCAGAAACTATATCAAGTTAAGAATTCAGGCCTAAGTTGGCTTACAGAATCATTTGGGACATTGGTCAGACCAGGTTAGTGTTAACAGATAACATTCCATGCCACTAAGTGACAGCCCAGAAATGGTATGCTTCCTGCACATAGCTGTCAGCTCATGGGGTGTGAGGTCTAACTGCTAGGCATCTGAGCTCACCTTAAAGGCCATGGGAATTTCAATGATATAGAGATCCACGTAATCCAGCTGTAGGGTTTTGAGCGTCCTCTCCAGGGTTGGACGGACCATCTCCGGAACATGGTTCGTAGCCCATAGCTGGAAGAATCAAGAGGAATAGTTAATGAATGTCACAGCCCTCTATTCCCTGTGAAGCACTACTACACATTTCATCTTACAAACAAACAAAAAAAAGAATTTATGCTTCAGTGTCATCTAGCATAGGATGAATTGACAAAATCCTTGACACCAGAGAATGAATGTAGTGCAAGAGACTTGAACATCTGGCCACAGAGAACCAAATTCGATGACCAAGTCTCTGCCCTGCATTGATTTCCCTCAGTGTTTTCACTTTTATCCATTATGCCACCAGGGTACACAGATCTAGTTCAATATTCTGACATAACCTGGCTGGGAAGTTGGCTGGGCAATGTAACTGACCTCACTGGATCCTTCAGTTGGTAAAAGAAAGCTGGTGGCATTTAAAAACCTTGCATAGATTTAAATTTCTTTTCTTGCCTCAGTGTCTTCAGATGATCTTTCTCAGACTCCAGGTCAATCTTATTTTGACTAGGGATTTTTTTTTTTTTGGTGGGGAGGGGTCCGGTCGTGGACTTGAACTCTTGGCCTGGGCGCTGTCCCTCAGCTCTTCAGCTCAAGGCTAGCGCTCTACCACTTGAGCCACAGCGCCACTTCCGGCTTTTTGTTTTCTTCTTATGAGATGCTGAGGAATCAAACCCAGGGCCTCATGCATGCAACGCAAGTGCTCTACCACTGAGCCACCTTTCCAGCCTGACTAAGGATTTATTTAATCTATGAAAGGTTACATACTGAAAAAATTAAGGCTTAGTTGGCCCAACTTTTCTGATTCTTCTGGTGTTAAATTGCTACTATCTCTTCACGGGGTGGGAAATCTCTTCTATATTTTACTTTACTTTTCTTTAATACATGTTATGTATGATGTTAGCTATGTGTCAGGTACTACTTCAATGTTTTCTAAATGGTCAATCATTAACAATTTAGGAGGTGGTCAGTACCATTGTCCTCATTTTATGGAGAGGAAGATTGAGGTCCAGATGTGAAGCAAGGCACAACTGGTTGCAGCAGATCTAGGACATACAGCTAAGTGGTTGTGCACTACTTCACATCATGTTATATGGAATCAATATACGGTGACTTGGGGGTGAGGGTAGAAGCTAGCAGCAAAGCCTGTGCACATAGCCAGCTCTCCACGCCTCCCAGGAGCTGCACTGAAAACCTATCTTCCTGGAGCAACAGTGGTTGTCTACCACTGAACTCAGCTACACATACATTTCCTGTTCACTTGTACTCGTACTGTGCTTATGTGAGTTGCTCTTGACTTTTTGGACAAATTTAAGGATGCCAAAGGATAATTTGACCACATTTTTCTTCTGAGTGTGTGTATGTACTGGAGAGCAAATCCCAGGCCTTGTCTGCCATGGAGCTCTGTCTCCAGTCCACTTCTTTCTTTTATTATTATTATTTTTATTAATTATATATATTTTAAGCAATTATCTTTAAGTAGTTGTGCAAAAGGGTTTCAGTTCAACATGTCAGTTTAAATGTACAATGTATACTACATGTACAGAACAATGTACAGTACAATGTACAGTATAATGCATCTTGATCAACATCACTCTTGTCTTCTCCCTCATCTATCGGAACCTCACCTGTCTCTTCAAGTTACCTGGTTTGATTTTTCAAATATGTACATTGAATATTATGATAATATTTGCCCACCCTTCCTGTCTCCATTTTCTACCATTCCTCCCCCCTCTTCCCTTCTCTCTCTCTCTCTCTCTCTCTACCTTCCTTCCTTCCTTCCTTCCTTCCTTCTTTCCTTCCTTTCTTGGTTGTGGGGCTTGACCTCTGGGCCTGGGTGCTTTCCCTCAGCTCTTCAGTTCAAGGCTAGCGCTCTACCACTTGAGCCACAGCGCCACTTCCAGTTTTCTGGTGGTTTATTGGAGATAGTCTTATGGACTTTCCTTGCCCAGACTGGCTTTGAACCATGATCCTCAGATCTCAGCCTCCTTAGTAGCTAGGATGACAGGCATGAGACACCAGCTCCCGGCTCCTCCCCTCTTTCTGAAACATGTTTTCGTATGTTAACTTTAGCATTTATGTAAGAAATGATTCTAGCTTAGGTTAAGCTAAAGGCTTATATGTTGTCCTCCTAAGCCCAAATAAGTAACTTTCAGATTAGTGATCTTATTTTTTAACTTATATCCATTTTCTCTTATCAAAAAAAATCCATTGGTTTGAAAATTGGATCCCATTTCTGAGTTTACTAAAATCATTCAATTACTTCTTTTAATCCTCTTTCCTTCCTCACATCAATACTCTGCTTATTATTATTTTTCTCAAACTTGTAATTATCCAATAGTAAAAGAATGTTCAAGACTTTGTTTTGTATGATTTCAGCATCATCTGTCATTTACCTTAAAGAGGAAAACTGTTTTTGTTACATACAGTATATAGTTCATTCTTTCGTGTCCAAGAGGCAGAACTCCCTTATATCACAGCTCATGCTATTTGCACATCATCCTATATATTTTAAGTTATCTTTAAATTACTTCAACTATCTAATGCAATACAAATGCTATGTAAATTTTTGCTATGCTATATAGTGTAGGGGAAAGGTGACAAGTAAATAGTTTGTATATGTTCAGTACAGATATATATGTTTTTCTGAATTTTTCTTTTTGTAGTTGGCTGAATCCAAACATTCAGTAGCCATGGACACAGACAGAAATTATTTTGTATCCATTAGAGTGCAACTAGCTTGGCACTGGTGACTCATGCCTATAATCCTCACTACCGAGATCTAAGGATCACAGTTTGAAGCCAGCCCTGGCAAGAAAGTCCATGAGACTCTTATCTTCAACAAACCTCTCAGATAAAGCCAAATGTGGCACTGCTCAAGTGGTACAGAACTAGCCTTGAGCAAAAGAAGCTCAGGGACAGCACCCTGGCCCTAAATTCAAGCCCCAGGACTGGAAGAAAAATAAAAGAGTGTAACTATGCACACATACATGCACACACACACACACACAGATGGAAGGTGAATAATCAAGTATTGCCTAAGAGGTAAGGAAATAGACTTTTACTTGTGTAGGAAGGCCACTCAGTATCACGCATGCAAAGGACACATACTCTTGGGTTTATATTTTCCTTGCCTGGTTCTATAGTCACTCTTTATAAATATATTCTAAATGACAATGAAAATGGAATACTATTGATGACTTCCCTTTCCCCCTTACATCCTGTTTTTCAAACATGTTCCCCATTGACTTGCTTAGTTGCACTTCATTCATGCTTCCTTACATACTGTATTGTATGTATCACAGTTCAGATGCCCATCCTATTGGGCCTGAGGCTTGGTCCTAGTTTTGAGTCTCCTAATCAGTGCTACTCTAAATCTCTGAATTAATGATACTCATCAGAGCAAAAGCTCTGTAGTATATGTATCACTGTCAGGTTATGAGATAGGTATATTTTCAGTTCTGTGTGGATGAACTTTTGGAAACATTGTACTAAGTGATAGAAGGAGATTCAAAAGGTTACTTGTATGACTTTATAAATGGAATGAAATATCAAGAATAGGAAAATGACAGTTATCAGTGACTGGGCAAGAGAAATGTGTGGAAAGGATTACTATTGGACACCGGTTTCCTTATGGATAAAGGTATTATGAAATTAGCTCATTGTGATGGGTGCAATCTTGACATAATGTGGCAGGTGAATTTTACCTCCGTTTAAAAAGTAGTAATATATGGACAAACAGAAGACTATTCTTTTAAGAGAGCTTTGGCAAATGCTTATATAATATAAACCGCTTTCATCTTTCCCACTGCATCCCAGTTTTCTAGTATACAGATTATAGAATTGGCATTATTCCAACTGATATACTTTGAAATCAATATGAAGAAAACGTTTCACCCTCATCGTTAGCAGTCTAATAGATCCTTATGTTCTTGGCAACACTGAGAATCTGAGCACTGAGAAGGAAGAAGAGGAGATGCCCCCCCCCCCCTTGGTAGGCCTAACAGTGTTTAGCAGGGAGAAACAGAAATTGTACCATGAATATAAAGAGATGGAGCAAGCGCAGAGTCCAGATCTTACCTTTCCGCAGTAGAAAATGTCCTCCCTCTTTACTTTTCCTTCTGCGATCTTGGCTCTGATGGCATCACCCACCTCATGCTCATTATGGTAGATATAGGCCCCATCAAAGTGGCGGTACCCAACGTCGATGGCAGTCTTCACTGACTCCAAACAGGACCCCTTGGAATTCTATGGTGACAGGGAGATGGGGTTGAGAGGAAGATAGAGGAGCCTTGAGCTTAATTTTCATTCGTTAGACCACTTTGCATGAGCTACAGCTAATGTGACAACCCTCCATTCCATGCTGTTGTGATTAAAAAGCTATGGGTGGCAACAGAAGGGATCTCCTAGAGTGCACTTCTCCTTTGGCAGGCTAAATCCATTCACCCCAGGTGTGCTGTCAGCTTTGTAGCTTTAGAAATGTAACTTGAGGCCAAGTAGAGTGCCTCTCCGTCTGGAATCTCCGCTACTGTGGCAAAGAGAGAGCAAGAAGGTCACAGTTTGCCTGGGCAAAAAGTCAGTAAGAGCTTCATCTCAGCCAATGAACTGGGCATTTGTGCCTGCGGTCGCAACCATGTGGACAGCATACAGGAGATGGTGAATGGTCCAGGATAGCTTCAGGCAAAAAAACAAAAACAAAAACCCAACCACCCAAGACCTATCCAAATCAACAACAGAAAATAGAAAGGGCTGAGGCTATGGCTCAAGTTGTAGGGCCAGACACACATCCTGGACACTCTAACACTGAACAAGATAAGGTCTCTTTCCCAACAAATGCCACAACCTAGTGAGGAAAACCACAGAGAAACAGCATCATCCCATGATAAGCACCAGCATGGATGGAGTCAAGCAAGCTCAATTGCTAGATAAACACAGAGGAGGGGTGTACGATAGGGATGGGGGTGCTGGCAAGGAGATGGGTTCCTAAGAAGAGAGAGCCTTTGCTCTAAGTCTTAAAAGTATAGTGAAGTCACCTAAAAGATCAAAGCCAGAGAAGTTGATTCAGGCAGAGGGCATTGAGTTCCAAGGCACAGAGATGAGAGAGTCGTTTGGGAATTTAGATCGTGTTTTACACACACGGAGAGCTGGGGGAGGAAGAGCTGATGGAGCTCACAAGTCAGCTAACCCACAAGGGTTCTGAGTACAGGGTAAGAGGTGCAAAATTCTCCCCATGGTTGACAAGGAGCCAGCCATTGGAATAACGAATTGTCAAGAGACAAAACTGGAAGATAAACAAGAGGTGAAGCTTAACGGAAAAACAGTGGCACTACAGAGGGAAGTGGCGATTGTTTTGGAGAGAAAATCAACAGGGACTCAGAGGTTATCTGGATGTAATGGAGGGCCCTGAGAGACCAGGAAGAGGGCAGAATGAAGGCAAGAATTCTGAATTTTGGCATGGGTGGCTGGGAGGCACGATGTCATTTGTTAGAAGCATACTTTAGGCAGGGGAGATGATGAGTCTAGTTTCGTCTTGTTGAGTTATAGTTGCTGGAGCACTTGGAGTCCAAATTGGGTTGCACAACAGAACCTCCTAGGGAGCTGATAAAGGCCGATTCTCACTTTTACCCCTAGAGAGCCAGATTCAATAGCTTGGGGTGACACTCAAGTATATCTAGTACTCCGGTGATTTTGAATAGCCATTCCATACCCACGTGGAGGAGACAAAATGAGAGGATTACGTATGGATTTGGAGTCTGCATAAAATGAGCTTGGAATCAAGAATATAAAACAGGTAAAAAGGTAAAGAAAGAATGGGAGGTGACCAAGGATACAGACTCATCAGAGACTTGTTCTGTGAGTACACTTTCCTGTGTTATATGATCACCAAAAAACACAGTGACAGCCAGGTGCTGGTGACTCACACCTGTCATCCTAGCTTCTCACAAGCTTGAGCCAACTGGGGCAGAAAAATCCACGAGACTCTTATCTCTAATTTGCCAGAGATGTTGAAAGTGGAGATGTGAGTACCAAGACTGAGTGAAAAAGCCAGGCAAGAGAGCAAGGCCCTGAGTTCAAGCCCGGTATCACCACTCAATAAATAAATACTGCAATACTGCAATACCGCAGTGGCATGTAAGATTGTGTATTCAGGATTTTTTGTTTGTTTGTTTTGGTTGGTCACTGAGCTTGAACTCAGGGCCTGGGCGCTGTCCCTGAGCTCCTTTGCACAAGGCTAGCACTTTATCACCTGAGCCACAGTGCCACTTCCAAGGATTGTGATACAAGCAACTACTCTTGGTCCTGTTCGTTTATTTCTGTGCCCCTGTCTCCCATTCTGTATGCTGTCACTAGAGTTATCTTGCAAAAACACAGATCCAGGTAGGCTTTTACCCTTCCACTAAAGGTCAGATGATTTTTCAGTTCTGTACAATGCAGTTTCTTCTCTTTATGTTATCTAGGACCCTTACCAATCCAGTCTCAACTTGCATTTTAAAGCCAATTACCATCACTTCTAACCTCTGTTCCGTGTAGTAGCTGCGCTAGCCTTGGCCTTCCCTGGACACATCCTACATCCTTATCTCTCCAGACACAGGAAAAAGAAAACCCACCAAATCTCCATAAGCCATAAACTAATATTTAACCATGAACTGATCAAGTTTAACCTTTGGATCATACCGGGGTAAGCAAACCGTTGTTCTTAGAAGTCTGTTTTTATTATTATGAAAGAAAATCAATGTGATCAACTCAAAATGAATTACAGATTATACTTTAGGCCAGTGTGTGAAAGAAAAGAAAACAGAGAGAAAAAAGTGAGAAAGAGAAAATGAGAGAGACAAGTGAGAAACAGAAAATGAGAGAATGAAAGAAAATAAGAGACAAAAACAGAGAGGAAATGAGCAAAACTTACCGGTACAGGGTCTGAATAGGTACCCAGCCCAATGATGGGAATGCTGTTTCCATCACTTAGAAGGATGCGGTGATTCTTTGCACTAAGGTACATCTTGCAGAGAGACAGTCTGAAGTCCCAGTGCTCCAGCAGTGATTCCTGAGCAAAAAAAATAAGCTGCTTGAAAAGGTGTTCTCCAGCATATTTTATCAAAGAGAGGAGGGGTGGGAGGAGCAAGGGAAGGGAGGAGAGATGAACAAATCTATTTCTCAATCTGTTTCTTTCTTTTTTTTTTGCCCCCAGTCTATTCTGAAATCCTTAGCATGGTTGTCCTTTGAACTTCATCAGAGGCAGGTAAATAACATAACCTTTCATCCGCTTTAGCTCTGTTTTCTGCAAAGAAAAGATTGCAAATGCAAAGGGAAACTCATTTACCTTTTCTTCCATCAGTTAGGATGCTTTTGTCAGTAAAACAACAGCATACATAGCTTAAAGTTTCTTCAACTATAAAAGAATAGGTTCATAGTATGATAAAGAGTGGAGGTGGAAGGAGAGAGAGAGACAGAGAGAGACAGAGAGAGAGAGAGAGAGAGAGCGCACAGAGAGCAAAGAGGGAGAGATACTCAGCTCTCTGGTGTCTTCTACAAGGATTCTAAGATCACCACGATGAACTAAACTTCATGTCTTCATTTAACCTAATCACCTCTTCAAATATAGTAGTTCCCTATTCTGTTTGTCTGTGGGATACATTCCAAGGTCCCCACTGAAGCCTGAAACTGAGGATGGTACCAGACTGTACACACACACTGTATAAACCCAAGCACAGGCCACAGTTAGACTGCTAACTAAGAGTGATTACAAAGAGAGTAATGGGTGTTATATTACACAGTTTTCCATCACTATGACTTGCTGTTTCCATTTCAGTGAGATGCATTATCATTTGAGAAGTAAAAGTTCCTGAAGGCTCACAGTTATGGACACTTGCCTTGGTCCTGTGGCTCACAGTAGATCATGGCAGGAACTGAAATAAAGATGCTGGGTTTAAGTAACATCACCTGGATCTCACAGCCATCTGGTGCCTTGTCGAAGAGCCAAGAGGTGAGATAGGCCATTCACTGAAGTGTAAATGTCAGGTTGTTTAACCCCAAGAAAGCTTTGCTACAGAGAATGCTTGTTCCTGAGTATCTCCTTGTGTGATCTGCTTTTGCTAGGCGTGGGTCTCCACCCCAAATATGTAGTTTTTGTCTTTAAAAGCTTTGTGCAAGCTACATTCTGGGCTATAGGTCTTTGAGACAGGGGTTTGCCTGCAGTTGCCAGCTTTCCAATAAAGACTCCCAATTCGACCTCTCAAAATGTGGCTGCTCTGTTTCTCGCCAACAAGTTCCCGTACGACAGAACAACGTCTTGTTCATCTCAGTGGCGGGAGATCAGAGGGAGAGACAGGAAAGGGTTCCAATTCCAATTAACTCCTTCATCTAGGCCCCATGTCTGAAAGGTTCCACCAGCTCCCAATAGCAGCCAGCTGAGCACCAAGCCTTGGACACATAGTGCACTGCTGGTCACTTCAGATCCAAACTATAGCATCTCTGTCCCTGGACTCCAAAGGCTCATGTCCATATCACAATACAAAATGGCTTCATTCCTTCTCCAAGATTTCCCCAAATCTTAACTGTCCTAACATTATCCAAAAGTCCAAGTCTGAAGTCTCTGAGATTCAAGGCAAACCCAAGTGTAAACCCCCTACAAAAGTGAAAAAGCAAGTTACATACTTCCACGGTGCGAAGGCACAATGGAAACGTTCCTATTGCACAAAGGGAGATGAGGAAAATGATATTGACCTACCAGACCAAAACAAGACTGAACTCCCTGCCTGGCAAATGGTGGTCTAATGTGAGCCCTTGTGGCCTGGCTGGTTATGAGTTCTGAGGAGAACAGGCCGGCCCTATTCTAGCTTAGTCTAAAAACAACAGCTTGAAGGCTGAGCAATACTTCTGACCATTTCTCTTCAAGTGTGAAAACAGGGAAGACTTTACATTTTGTTTCGGCAAGGAAACAATCACCATCTGTCAATGTACATGGAGGCAAAACGAATACTACTTTATTTGTGCCAATCAGCAGCGACTTTGGCAAATATATCCAGTTCTGTCAGAAATACCAGGCCTGTAGCTTAGTGAACACACTTGGACTCTGGGTCGATACAATTATGTAAGAGCAAGGACTAACATCGGAACGGAGGTAATTGTGTACACTAATTTCAGGCACAGGAAGTCAGGTCATCAGGTCATCTATATGCGTCAAGGAATAAAAGGTGCTAAACTTTTGACTCTGTCTCAGGGCTTCAGCTCGATTCCCACATCTGACTCATTCAAGTTGTTCCATCCAGTTGGTCCCAGAAACTCCTTGCCTGGCTCAATTGGGCCTCACTTCAGCCCTATGCTTTCATCCAGCACTGCACCTGGGAGACTGCATTTGAACATTTGCTTCTGAGACTAGGTTCTTTAGGTTATCTGACCACCTACAATGACCCTCCTCTCATTTGTTCTCTACTCTTGTCTTAGGCAAGGCCTCCTTGATTCCTGCTTTAATCCCTTCCTAGCCATCTGGTAACTTCTGCATTATGGTAAAATAATAGTGTTGTCTGAGAGTTTGTAGTAACAACTAAGATGGAATCAAGAATCTGTGTGGCAAAAGGCTTAGGCTATCAAGTGACCTTCGATGCAAATTGATATTGTCACTGGATTCAGGAGAGGGTCAGTGATGTTTCTTTCTTTCTTTCTTTCTTTTTATCCATTGTGGGGCTTGAACTCTGGGCCTGGACGCTATTCCTCAGCTCTTCAGCTCAAAGCAAGCACTCTACCCCTTGAGCCACAGCCATAAGAGTTTCACGGGCTTTCCTGCCCAGGCTGACTTTAAACCGCAATCCTCAGATCTCAGCCTCCTGAGGAGCTAGGATTATAGGCGTGAGCCACCAGTGCCGGGCAGTGACGTTTCTTTAAATGCAGGCACTCTTCACTTAGGGTCCTTGAGTTTGACTGCAGAATAAGAATTTTTGGACAAGTCACGACAGTAAGAAAACTTGGCAGAGCTATATTGAGGACATATGCAAGCAGGCAGGCAGACAAACGGACAAATAGACAAACAGGAGGGCAGGGGCACACTCGAGCAGAGTGTTCTCACAAGGAGATAGAGACACTCACAGCTGGTAAGGGTATTATATGTTAAAAGCAGAACGTCTGACTTCAAAGTTATGCCAAGAGAGCATTTTGGCTTTGCTCTAATTACTCCTGTTGTTATTTTCTGAGTTTCTGGATATTTGGGGGCATTTCTTCCGGGTAAGAATCTATCCTGTCACAAAACAGACCCTTATCCTTGAGATAAGGAAGGTGCTTAAGTTTTGGGGAGGCCTCTTTCTCAGGAAGGCATACAGCTTGTCAGACAAATGTTAATTCTTGGGGGGAGACTTGCATCCCTTCAGGAGGAATGCATCCTGTTGTCTCTCTTTGAAGCAAAGATGGCACTTCTATGTTTCTAAATACCATATTTCTGAGTTGCCTTCACCAGGCTTCATTTTCCCCTAGTCTATCTGGCTTCATTTCCCCTAAAATGACTTTGTTCCCTTAATCTTTTTTCTTTTTCCCGGTCATGGGTCCTGAACTCTGGGCCTGGGCGCTGCCCATCAGCTCTTGAGCTCAAAGCTAGCGCTCTACCACTTGAGCCACAGTGCCAGTTCTGGCTTTTTCTGCTTATGTGGTGCTGAGGAATCAAACCCAGGTCCTCATGCATGCAAGGCAAGCGCTCTACCACTGAGCTACCTTCCCTGCCCTGTTCCCTTAATCTTAAGGGAAATACATGAAGTAATATCTCCTGTATTAGCTGTAGGCTGACCATACCTCATTTTTCCCTTGTCTACCCAGCTTCAATACCAACACAATTAATGTAGCTTGCCAGTTCACTGTTATTCAATCCATTCTGACATTGTGGAAAGACACAGATCTGTGGCTAGGTTTCTGGTATAGCTTACTGCTGACAAGCCCACATGGCAACTCAGGCTGGCTCTGCATGCTGACTTCAGTTTCCCTTGTCAGGTATCCCCTGTTCTTGGCATGCCTGACTTCTGGTGTCTCCATCACAGCTTCACACAGGACCCTGTCACAGACTTCTTGAAGAGCCTCCAACCCTGCTGCATACTGCCTGTCCAGCTTAACAGACTTACTTTTGAAATCTTAGTGGAAAACTCTGTGACCCATAACTCTTGCATTTTGCAAGCATGCAAAACTAGAAAGGGCGCACAAATGCAGCAGTGGTACTAACTGGATACTGTTGAAACTGAACTATATGCCGGGCACTAGTGGCTCACGCTTGTAATCCTAGCTACTCAGGAGACTGAGATCTGAGGATCATGGTTCAAAGCCAGCCGAGGCAGGAAAGTTCATGAGACTCTTATCTGCAATAAAACACCAGAAAATCGGAAGTGGCCCTGTGGCTCAAGTGGTAGAGTGCTAGACTTTAACTGAAGAGCTGAAGGACAGTGCCCAGGCCCAGAGTTCAAGCCCCATGACCAACAAAAGGAAGGAAGGAAGGAAAGAAGGAAGGAAGGAAGAAAGAAAAAGAAAGAAAGAAAGAAAGAAAGAAAGAAAGAAAGAAAGAAGGAAAGGAGGGAAGGAGGGAGGAAGGGAAGAAAGAAAGAAAGGAGAAAGGGAGGGAGGGAGGAAGGGAGGGAAGGAGGGAAGGAGGGAGGAAGGGAAGAAAGAAAGAAAGAAAGAAATGAAGGAAGGAAGGAAGGAAGGAAAGAAGGAAGGAAGGAAGGAAGGAAGGAAATGAACTATACAACTTGTGGGTGGGGATGGAAGGGAAAAACTAGGAGAGAGCAAGGGAAGGGGTGACACTGTCCAAAAAGAAATGTACTCTTTACCTGACTTATGTAACTGTAACCCCTTCTGTACATCACCTTTATAATAACATTTGGAAAAAAACTACCATTATCATAGGGATAATGTCCAGGGCTGTCAATAGCAAGCTGTTCTTGGCTTCATTTGAACCAAGGTTCCAGCAGCAACTGCTGAAGGTCTTGAGAGATGAAGAGGGGAAGATGAATACCAGGAAAGCAATTCTTA